CTTAATGATTCTGTGATTCTGTGATCAGCTGCTATTTTGTCAGAAAATGTTTCTTGTTTGCTATGTAATATTTTTTTGTGCAACAGTGTCACACTAGATGTGGATGATAAATTTTCTCTTACAAATTTGTAGAACCAATGCTTTAAAACATTTCTATTTACAATATTTTTAATGCTGAAGGTTATAACAATGCATAGCATCATAATATTTATTTTTTAACCCATTGTCTGTTAAGTGTCAGGGTGCAGAATTTTTATTTGTTTGAAATATTTTCATTTGTTACAGTAAGCTTAGACACTGTCATTCTATACTTACTAGCATTTTGAGATATGCAAAAGAGAAATGCTGAGCGTTACAATCATAAATTTAAATTTTAAAAGTTTTACATTAACAAACAATTAGCCTTTTTGACCACCACCATTCTGCTAAAAGGCAGAACTTCTGCTTTTAGGTTCTCCAGCATTTTTCGGTTGGTTGGCTTGTTTGTTTGTTACACCCTATTATTAAGTTTTTTTCCAGTTTGTTTAGAGTTTCTGTTATAACTTAGCTTATTCTGTGCTTAATATGTGAGAACAATATGCATTATTTTTTATATATCTGGTGCCTTTCAAGAGAAAGTAATTTTATGTTTTCTTTCATTCTGTTTTTACATAAGAATAGAAACTATATAAAAGGCAATGGCATTTGCCTGCTCTGGGTTGGCATGTAGCAAGAGTCTGTATCACAGTCGTACTTACACAATTAAAATATAAATACTACCACAGTTGAGAACACAAATCTTTTTCTTAAGATGCTTCAGTAACAAAAGGTCCAGGATATAGGAAATAGTGTGTGCCATTAGCATATCATACATCTGCTAATAAGTTGAGGTAAGGGAAGAGATATAGGTGTTTATGTCAGCTTGACCATTCAAGCATTTTCCAGCTAACAGGGTACGGAGCGCTGTCCAGAAATAGCACCTTGTTCCCAATGTTTGTTAGCATAAACAAAAGCAGTGCCAAACAATTGTCAACAATCACTGCGTTTTTATCTCATGTTATAAAGCTGTCTTTAATTCTGGAAACTCTAGTTTATTTTTTTATTCTAATCCCTGCATTAAAAAAATAATTGTAAAAGATTTAAGAAATTGTTACATGTGGAATCTTTTGGTAATTCCTATAAAAAGCCTTTTCCTATATTACCGTGAAAAATTCAGAAGAGAAAGCCATATACCATAGTGAGGTCTAAGGGCAGCAATAACTTCATTTGATTCCTTGCCTCATCTTTTTTCAACCTGACATGGTGGCTTCAAAAGAGTGGTGGTTGGGAAATGCGCTCTAGCTCTTCTGTTGTGCAGCGTAGTATCTAGTTAGTTGTAACTAAGCAGCACCGTTAAAAAGAAAGCCCCGAAAAAAACTGTGCAAAATAGCTTCATTTTTTAGATCATGCTCTTGAATAAAATGAAATTATTTCCAAACACAGCTATTTAAATCAGTGTTGTTGGAAATGTATAGCCACAGAAATACCAGTATGTCAGGAAATTAATATGACACTTCAAATAACTTTGAGGGAAGAAGAGACCTTAGAGACTTGGCATATCCCTAGAGCTTATCAGTTGTGATAGAGCTTATCGGTTGTGCAAGGACAGAGAAGTTCTTGGACTCCAAAGGGATTTTCTGCAGCTCTGAGAAACTTTGTAATTCATCTAGCCCATGAAGGGATGTCTGTGTGAGTGGTCCCTGGTAGATTAAAACTCCCCTGCCTGCCCCCCTGCCCCCAAAACCCAACCCCAATCCCCCCTGCCTGTTCCCTGGCCCAGCCCTGAGGGAGCCTCTGTGCTGAAGCTGTGCAGTGAACCAGGGACTGTGCTTATCAAGGAGCAGCATCGACGGTGTGTGGTAGCTCAGGAATAGCACCCCCACACCCCCATCCATACTTCTGGCTTCCGGACTGGAGTTTGGATGGATCGCTTCTGGCTAACGCGGTATGTGCAGAGACTTCGCGTGTAGTCAGCTGGTTGCCACAATGCTTTCTGAAAAGAATCATCCTTTGGTAGGAATAACCATAAACAATGTCAGACACGCTTGTTTAACTGTGGATATAGAAAGAAAGAATGAAAATGGGAGCATTACTTTCTCTTTAATAATAGAATTCACCAGCTGCATGTTAAAAACGGTGTCTTTGCAAGCCATCTTGGAAACAGATCTTGTCTTTCTCCCATTGCATTTTGTAAGGTATTTTCAGTTTTAGAATTGCTCTGTGTAGGTGCTATTTTTCAGTCTTAAAAGGAGGGAAAGATAACCTTCGTAGAGTTCACTGAAAAAGAGTTAGCTGGAACATGCAGGTTCTTTAGGAGAAGGGGAGGAGTGGACCCCTTCGTTCATGCACATGCGAGGGAATTTGAACTACATTGACTGAAAGGGCTATCAAAACTGCAGAAAAGAATATGGTAGTCAGAAAAGAAACTATGCATGCAACTTGCTTTTACAGATCACAGCATTATTAAGCCTTTAAACATGTGATGCTTTCTTGCAGTAGAAAATGTAAGGTAGTGCAATAATATTTTAGGAAAGAAAAGTGGTTTTAATTTAAAAAGCAGCTCCTCTACTTAGACTAAGGGAGTCTGAGTAGCTGGGTGACAAGCATAATAGCTTTAATCTATAGTAATTCCTAGTCATTGACTATAGTTGTATTTAGATGTAAGACTTCGTATATGTATAAAAATGTCTATTCTATCCTACCCCTTGTCATTTGTCTTGGGACATTGCTGTGACTGTTCAAGATCTTAGATAAAATTGTGTGGTGTGCTTTTTTTTATTTGTTTGGGTTTTTTTCCCCCTCTTCCCATTGTGTGCAGTGGGGCTCCCGAAAAAACCTGCTGGCAGTGAACAACATCAGCTCTGTGGTGATCCTCAGTGAGCAGGCCATGTCATCTCATTTTCATCAGCAAGTGGCCGTTGTGCAGGTGTCTCCCAACCTATTTAATGTGACCATCTTTAGCACAGGAACCACACACAGTCTTCGTGTTGATATGAATGTAAATGGAGTCTTCACTACTAAGGTTAATCGGATTTTTTCATTTATTTGCTCGATCAGTTACCTAATTAGGTGTATGGAGACCAAACTTTCTAAGTCTTTAATATAACCTTTCTTTGATATTCATTTATTGTGTTATGGAAGTATTGTTATGACGGTAGCAATGATGTTGTGGTGGAGCTAATTTTTCAGATAGTACAGTGACTTAGTAATTCTCTAGGTGCTGACCAGAGAACTTTTGGGTTGCCAAAAGCCTTCCAACTCAATATACAGAGGAACTAGAAAATCGTGGCTGTTGTGTGGAGGGTCTTGTTGTGTTGTTGCATGAATTCCTGTATGATTCCAAAGAAACTGAATGTATATATTCTTTTGCTTTTTTTGTTTTAGGATGCTGTAGTATTCTGGAATGGGAAGCAAGTTACTGTCTTTGAGTGCTCAGGAGATACCTTTAGAAGTGCAGGTAGGACTTAGAACAATGACCAGAGTTGAAATGGTTCTCTTCCTCCAAAGTTATATGTTCTCTTCATTCACGATAGCTGATGGACTGTAATCACAACTCCAAAGTGAAAAATATTATTAACACTAGTTGGACTTCATATTCCCATTTTGCAGAATAGAAAGATTAGGGCATAAAAATTGTCAACAAAGCCAGAACTTAAATGCCAACTCTTACATCTGTGCTTTATTCACTAAATATGCTGGGATATAATGTCTGTGATTGGCATTGACAAAACCAAGCATCTTGTTGCTGTTTCCCACAGACTAGATGTATACCCAGCTGTCACACCTAGACTTAAAAGGTATCCTCAGAGCTAGCATATAATATAGGGCCTTGCACAAAACATGATGTGAGGATAAGGCTGCTTCTTTTTATCTCTTAAGTAAATCATTCCAACATTTGATCAAGAGCAGAGTTCTTTTCCTACTTTTGTAGCCATAGCTCCTGTTGCCTTCCACAGGTAGGTCATGAGGATGGCTACTGAAGGCTTTTCTATTTTGTTTGGGAGAAAGTGGAATCAAGGTTATATACCATTTACATAGGAACTGGGAAGGAGTGCATTTTAGTCCCAGCTGTCAGGAAAATCTGTTCCTGATCTGTGAATATATATATGCGTATACAGCTGCATCAAGTAAATGAATTCCCTCATAAATATTTCTGCCTTGAGCAACAGGTTATGCAGAATTCCATCAATCCCATCCAAAATCTTGAGAGTTTAGGCTTTTCTTTGAAGAATTATCAAGTGTTTTCTGAAAAGTGGCTTATCTTGTCTATATTTACTTATTTATTTTACAACTTTTCCATGCTGAATCAATGTGTTATTACCACCAAGGTCCCAACAGTCTACAACACTCATGAAATTATTTACGAGCCGCTCTTCTTTCTGACACAGATTCCTTTATCACTCTTCAATTGTAGTTCAATGAAGGAAGGAATGAATTCTTTTAATGGAACCTCACGTTGCACTAGTCGCTTTCTTTCACTCCTTTTATCACTCTTTTCCCTTCCACTTGTTTTCATGGGTAGAGTGTGCAAAACACCTGTTTTCAGTAGGAATCCCAGCTTTTGGTTATAGTGGCAGAACGGAAGGCCACTGTAACCAAAACTGCAACACCAAGGAGTTTGGGAATCAGTAGAGACTGACAGATTGAAAAATGGATTTGGTGCAAGATGGTGGAAATTGAATGGCTTAAGTAAAAAAAACTTTTTTTTTTCCTTTTAAAAAATCTGTTTATTTTAATGATGGCTTTATTGTGATTGTTCTAGGCTCTTTTCTGTGTGACTCTCCAGTTCTGTCCATGCATGGAGAAAATCTGTACACAGTTGAGCCGTATCGGGTCCAGGTCCGCACCTGGCAGGTAAGGGCTGATGAAATGATGAAGCGACAAATATGCCTTACTGTTTTCAAAGAGTGGTGTTACAGATTAAAGTTAAATGGATGTTCTGTAAATCTATTAACTCTACCTTTGTCATAGAAAAAAATATTTTGAGTATTTCTGCAGAAAGATCTTTGATGTTTTGTGTTCTTTAAAGAGTCTGTCACTTTAAAAGCTACTGCACTGTAACTAATAGGTATTTATAAAAGACAACAGAATTTTGGAGGAAAAGGACCGGACTTTAAGTGGATCAAAATTGCATGCAAATTGAATATATATAAGTATATTCCTGACAGAAGAGCAACGTACTGAGTATAATAGTAATTACAAGATAATGAAAAATACCCCCTGCACATTCTGTGTGTCCCTGCAAAATCTTTTGCTTAACCTTTGCAGCCTCTGCTAGTCTGTGAGAACTGAAAAGAGAAATCTAATTATCAGAATTTTATGATACACGTTTTTATTTAAGAAAAAAATACTGTATTCGAGAATGGATGGGGTTTATCACAATAAGGACTGATTTAACTCACATATTTATTTTTGCAGTTGTATATTAAAGGACCTTCAGAGACCTGTATTTCTGTATCCCTCTTAGTTGGAAAAAAATGTATTATTGAAGAGGAAGTTGTTGCAGAAGGACACCTCTAAATTTTTACTTTTTTGGAGGCTATACATCCAGTTTTCAACCTGAAACATGGACTGAATTTGTAGAGACCATGTGTGTTTGTAGTTTCTCTCATTTTGCTGGTAGTGATTTGTCTAATATAGAAGTTCAGCAGTTAGTTACTTAACTTGGTGACAAAATAAGCCCCTTCTAGTTAGGCTCTGAATACACAAACCTGGTGTTACACATTTCTTCTTAGGGCACAGTTAAACAGCTGCTGGTGTTCTCTGAAGCAGAGGGGAATCCGTGCCTCTTGGATGTCTGCGGAAATTTCCTGGCTGTGGGAACTGATTTGGCTCACTTTAAAATCTTTGATCTCTCTCGCAGGTATTAATAGACCTTTTAAAACATCTGTTTATAATGGAGCGTATATTTTGGGGGGGGGGGAATCTTCAGTTAGTTTTGCTCTGATGAAAAGTGACAGCCACTTTGAATCTTGAGACAATACACGCAGCCTCTGTGAAATGATGGCCTATCCCTAAAGCAAGGGAAGAGCCACAGAGTTATTAGACAAATCATGGTATGAGTAATAATAATAATAATAACAATAATAGTAACAATAATTTTTCAAAGAGGATATTGTGAGGGATATTTGTGTGTGTTTGAAAGTGGGTGGAGAATTTATGGAGGATCAAGACAAGGATGTTGCACGTTTTTGCTGATAACTTGACCAAGACCTTAATCTCAGAAGAGTTGAAATAAAGAAAAAAAAGCTAGGTCTTGTATCTCCTCATAAATCAACAAACTTGATTCACTAAATCCAAGGAGGAAGTGAACCTAGAAGTGTAGACACTCTGTTCTTCCTCCTGTTTAGGTTAAGAGAGAAGTTTAATTGACTTTGTTCAAACTTTACTGTGTGTTCCCATGCTGACAAACAGCTGTGACATGAAAAAGATATGTGCCTGCCATGACTTTCAGTTTGAAAATTTATCTGCTGATGACAAACGTAATTTTTAAAACCTGAAAAACCTCAAGAGTGATGGATTCTGTTCTTTCTTACATACTGTCACCAGAGGAATGCTAAAGTCTAGTTAGTTACCCACTTGGAAACTCGTTACCTATGTTGAGATGACACAAATTCCACATGGGACTCAACTTGAAGGTTATTGGATTTGGGCAGGTTGTAACTATCACAAATATTAGATTATGGTGTTTGACAGTGGAGGAAAAAGTAGCTTAAATCCTGTGTGCTACGTTAAATTTTTGTGGCTAGTAATGAAAATACCCCTTCTCAAATGATGACAGTAGGGTGCTCTTTAATTTCAAAGCCAGCGTAGTTGGCTTAGAATAAATGAGAGATCTAAAAATGTGACCCAAGGATGTTGTTTTTACAGAATCAAAGATTTTCTTACATGAGATCATATTATGGCTCTAAATTAATGTCACTTCTTTCTGTTGCATTCTCGTGATTCATGAGATTTGTCCTCTTTGTTGCTGAATGATTGCTGGGCTTGTGTCTAAACTGGCAGAAAGATTCTTTCGAGATAATGAAAAATGCAGGGGCAGAGTGGAGAGGAAGTGTTAAGTATGTGAAGGATGCAGTCTTTTGGAACTTACGTACAGAGAGAAAGTGATGAATAAGATCATATAAATACGACCCCCCAATGGCATTTCTTCCCTTCTGCTCCACGTGTGTTTTCCATACACAGAAGTTTTATGTGATGGGCTATATTCAACATTCAGGGTACTGTTCAGCTTTCTTATGTAGGAGAAAGATGTCTCAATTCAGAATTCTGGTAGGATGTTCTTGCTATATAGCCCTGTTTTGGGAATACTGTAGGTGCATTGAAGTTTTGAGTGTCTCATTAACTTCTTCCTGAAAGAAAGGCAGGTCGCAGCAGTTCTCTGGAGAGGAAGCTAGAGTCTGGGGCAGTGGTGTCATAAGGCAGAAATAGTTTGTTTTTAAAAGTCTTACCCATAATTTGAAAAATGTTTTGCCTGATGCATATTGCCAGTTGCTTGCCACCATATGATTTAAGTTTATTCCTTTCCACAGAGAGGCAAAAGTGCACTGCAATAGCAAGAACTTCTCTGAGCTGTTTCCTGGCCTTGGAGGCATTGCATCTGTCAAGTGCAATGCTAATGGCAATAAAGTCAGCATTCTTGTGAGCAAGGTGAGGCAAAGCTCTTCACTTAACAGCCCTAGGACCTGACCATTGGTTAATAGACTGGTTCAAGAAGATTACCGAAGACACAAGATCCACTTCTCAGAAATAAACCTACATGTTTTGTGCAGTGTGTTGAGTCTTGAAATGTCATGTCCAAGCATGTAACTAAACACTAAAATTAAGGTATGTTAAGGTTTTGTACATGTGGTGAGAACAACAACCCAGAAAAGGAAGCAATATTTTGGTTTCAAAAGCTACTTCGTAGCATTTCAAAGAAATCAAAGGCTAACTTGCTAGACTCTAAAAACAGCAAGAAATTTTCTGATATTTCTTCCGAAGAATGCTCTTGTGTGATTACCAGTAAACAAAACTGAGAGTATGAATCAGATGAGTTAAACATACCACCTGAACTTTACCTTTTTTCCTTTTTGACTGCATGCTTCAGCAACTTTTGTTTCCCCTTCTTGTAGGCAGATGGGAACATTGATTCCAAGATCTGTTTCTATGATGTTGAAATGGACAAAGTTACACTCTTTGATTTCAAGGCTGAACAGGGAAATGGTAGAGAGAAGCTTTCTTCTGGACAAGGCATCGACAAGTAAGAAGCTTTTATTTTGAGAAGTATTGCTCGTGGATTTAAGATAGGAATCTGCCCTATGAAGACAAGCAACACCTTGATACTGGCATTCCTCTGTCTTTGTGTAGGAGCTTGTACAAATATAGTTATTTCTAAAGAGTTGATTAAAACTGGTGCATTGTATGTCAATCAGCCTGCATCCCTGCCTCTTCCAATACGTGAAACAGGGAGTGTCAAAGAAAGGTATCAGAAAGCAAGCTCAAAATCAACGGGAGGAGGCGTTCCTTCAGACAGCATGCAGCTGAGCTAAGGAACTCCTTGCCAAAGGAAGTTATGGATGATGAAGGAAGGGTTCATGGACGTATTGGACAAATTCATAGAAGAACAATGCAGTGAGAGTTATTAGTTATGTGGAAGCTGTATCTGGCTCAAGAGGTCTTTGAGAGGAGGATGATTAGGTGTTGCGGGGGTATGCATCAAGGTATTATAGGACTGGAATCAGTATCCTGATCTTAAAATAAAGAAAAATCGTGGAAAGCTACTCTTCCATGAAGAGTTTACAGGGTAGGAACTGAAAAAGAGGACATTCTGAAGCTCCTCCTAGGAAAAAGGTTAATTTTTAAGTCCAATTCAGGGTTTTTTTGTATGGAATGAACTAATGAAAAGTCTATTTAGAACTGACAGCTTTGTTTTCATACAAGCTGCTCTGTGGCAAATACATTAGAAATCCTAGTAGCAAGGCAGAAAAATGCAGTGAACTAGGAATTCTCATGAAGTACAGTGGAATATTAGGGTACAAATTCCCACCTGGTTTTACATTAATTTTTCTGACTTTATTTTTCTTAAGAAAAAACAGTGTTAGAATAGAAGGTGGTTTGCTTTTGCTAGCAACTATCTGCTATAGGTATTACAAGCAAAAAGGATTTACTCTCCTTATCACTGAAAACTGGAAGAAACTACCCAGCTCATCAAAAACTAAGGACAGTGTGAATTTGGGGCCTTGTATCTTGGTCAGTTATGCAAACGGTGGAATAATGAGTAGTGAGGAAGTTGTTTTCAAGTGTAGTATCTTGTGTAGCCCAACAGAGGCCACCACAAGCCAATAAACCTATTTCACTGGTATTTAAATGCTAGATGGTGTCAGCGTGAATTTATCTGTGCTTCATTTTAGAGTATCTTGAAATTGGCATGAGTAAATTCACCAGAAAATAATCTACACTTCTCTCTCTTTCCTCCTGAGGCAGAATCTAAACACTCCCAATCTTTTTACACAAATACTGCTTCTCAGTTTGCAAGTAATTAATTTTTAATTCAGTGGCATGGGTAGGGCATTGTGTATTTCTGCACCCCTTTGAATCTCTCCCTTAATTTGCCTTCTATCCCTACTCCAATCCTCCCTAAAAAGCCCAGCCTTCAGTGGTGACAGCAAATGAGAAAAATATTTTAATGATGCCTTTGGTTTCTCTCTTTTTTAAAAATTGACACCTATTTATATTCTGTATTTTTTCAGAAGAATCCTAAGCCATGGCTAAAATAGTGTGATTCTGTATGTCTAGAGTATTAACATGGCCAGCACTGAAGTAGTATTTAAATGCCCGAAGGAGGCAGAAAGACGTTTCTTATTTAAACTACTGCCAGAGAGTGACTTTCCCAAGGCTGCAGGGCATGTCCTTGTGCTTAATGTGCTATTTGACAGTGCCTCAGAATTCTTCATACACGGTATGAAGTTCAAGTACAGGACTGAGAAAAGGGAATGAACTGTGGCGTATCTGGAGACTGAAGTCCCCCAGCTGCAGGTCAGGTTGAGCTGCAACTCTGGAGTTTCCCTTGGCACTGAGAAGTTCAGCAGCTCAAAGCATTGATCATGCTGCATGCTGAGGTCTCTTTGCTGAAGTCTCAGTAGAGAGAGATCTGTTGCCTGAGAATATAAATTAATTTCTTATTTTTTTCCCATCAGTTTAATCACAATTGTCTAGTTGTGATTTCTTATGATTGCTGCTTAGCTGGATTTGAAAGTGAGGCATATGTACCAGAAACTCTCTCTTTACTGCTTATCAAAATGCACATCAGCGTGCTCAAGCTGTCTTTAGCCTGGCTGGGTATTTCTAGCAGTCCTGGCAATAAGCACCTTGGGGCAGGCTGTAAAACCCACAAGAAGACAGAGCTGAGGTAGTCCCCGTGTTACAGTACCTACACTGGTAGCAGTCGCTAAGGTGTATCATTTGAAGGATGTCCAAATATTTCTGTAGGACATGTCATCTCAGTGGAGGCAAATTTTGGATGCCTATTTGTATTTGTGGCAGTACCAGCTTTTTTTCTACTGAAATGCTTTATGTCCTATAGTCATGGTTAATATATACAGAACAAACTAAAAGTGGCATTGCCATGTATAAAGTGATAGGAGGTAGGAAGATGTATAGGTTAATGTTACAATGCAGAGGTACTGGCATAGATAACTGATCATCATCTGAGAATTATCCCTTGGTTAGTCCTTGATTTACATTCATGCACTGAACGGGCTGGAATTATTTTGTCTCCCTTTCTACATTTTTTTTTTTTTTTTCTTGTCTTGTCTTTTGGTAGGTCTGTTGTGGATTATCCAGAGTTGCACAGTCACATCCCTGCTTGCCATTTCTGGGACCAGAGTGAACCAAGACTTTTTGTATGTGAAGCAATTCTTGAAACAGGCCTACAATCTCCAGACCAGAAGAAAAACCAGACTGAGAGCATAGTATGGTCTTTTGTTTGTTTCTTTTGCTTTGCTTTATGTGGAGTTCTCCCTGTCCCAGTAATAAATCATTGGTTCTTCATTAAGGATGTGGGAGTAGATAGCATACATTCTCTTGTACAAAAATAAGTAGTGAAACTATATGCTTGGTGTCTCTGGCTTCAGGCAGTCACTGTACATTAGCTTTCTGTTTTAGCCCTAGCTTGCATACAATGACGAAGAAAAAGAGGTGATTTCTTTATCTATGATAGAATTTTGAGGTTGATCATAATGCAAGCTGGTATCTGGACTACAGTTTTTCATGTGAAATTATTGGGTGAATTGATAACCTAGAGGTTTGATACTTACTCTCATTTTTTAAAAAATAATGCAGATTTTCTCTCTTGAGTCCTCTTTTAGCAGCAAGAATTAATTTGATAGAATAACAGGGACCCTACTGTTCAGGTGAGCAGTGAAGTGCGCTCTTCCCACCCAGTCCATATCATCTTCTGCTTTTCTGAACAGACATTGTACACTGTTACGGTGCTTCCCAAATTATCTTTCACGGTCTTCTTTACATTAGAAAAAATGTAGAAAAAAGATTTCATTTTTATTGACCAGAAACAATTTAATCAAAGAGTTCTTTCATCACACCAACAATTCTTCCCTGCTTACCCCACTAATGTGCTTGTAGCAGTCCTTACTATTTTGTCTGTACAGAACTGCCTGTCCTTCATAAATATTCCACTGATTTGAAATGTCCATGTTGACTTAAAGTTTTCTGATTCATGCATGATTTTAGTTAAACATCTTCCAGTTAGAGATAGAAAGCTCTTTGTTTCTTTTGTTGGTTGAAATGACCTTAGAAAATACATGGGAAGATTAATGTAGAAAGGAGGAATGGAATAGGGATGTCTCAGAAGGCCTTGCTAGCGTCTTCTAGCAAAGAGAAGAACACTTCAACCTAATATTCCTAATGTAAAAAAGTAAAAATGTTTGGCTTCTACATAAGGTTGAAAAATAAAAAGATATAAAAGGAGTGCAACTTACTTTTTGTCCCTTATTCAACAGAATTTTTAACTGTGTGCTTATCCTTTAAGAAATGAGAAGTCTGTTTAACTTCAGTTGGAAGTAAATGCTTCATTTTGAGTTGAGTCAGCTCAACAATTAAGCTGTTGCAGAAACTATTTTTAAATGGCTGGTATGTTTCCTGGGAACTTAAAGCAGTCAGTAAGCTTGCTGAAATTATAGTAGAAATAATATAGTATTTAAAAAAAAAAAATGTTGAAAGCAGTTGGGAGTATTTCTTTGACCTGAGTCAAATCTGTCAAAGAGACTTCTAGAGCAGCAGTCTGTGGCCAGGGACTTCTCTCTTTATGGTTGGTGAAGCTGGTTCCTGAAGGGCAGAGCTAGAGGTCCCTTTGCAGTAGGAACATGGTCTGTAGTGCAGAATGAGTCGTTGGCTACTTACTATAGGGAGGAAGCGTGCAGCTCTGCCCTCTCCAGCAGGTGCGTGCATGTGAATGTATATGTCATATTATTTTCAGGAGAAGGTTCTGCCAAGTGAATATGGAAAATAAAAACAAATTGAAAGAAGGATATTGCAGCATAAAACCAAAACAATGCTTTGCTTCCTTTTCCAGATGGATGTTTGGATTGTATCATTCTTCAGTACTGAAGAGCATGGCCTTTTGCTTCAGGACAGCTTTCCATTGCCTTCATCCTACGAGGTTCTTTTGGGCATAGAGGTGCCACATTATTACTTTGCAAAAAAGGTGAGGAAAACTTTCACAATTCTTTCCCTTCCCATAAGTTCAGACTTTTCACTGCATGGGGATCAAATGTAACCAAATTGAGTCTGGGGTAAGTAGAGGGACTCCAATGACAGTTGCTGCATCACATGTAGAAATTACATAATGATAATTCTAATGCAGGTGTACTTGGCAGTATTGTGGAAATTGTACTGAATTGGCTTTTCATGGGTATTGCAAGCTGCATGCCATGTACAAGCATAGGAGACACAGTACTTACCACGGAATGCAACTAAAAAAGGGATGTGAAAAAAATTCTCAATCTACATAGTCACTGTGCCTATTGCAAGTAAGGGGGCGGCGGTGTGTCAGCTTTACGTAGGCCGTAAGAGGGGACATTTCCTACTAGCTTCAGCAGAAGCAACCCATCTGCTTTTTGGCATGGAGCTTAATCCCCACAGAAAACCAGAGAGCGCAAGAATATTCATCTTACCCTATCACCAAATGCCTATATGCTGCAAATACCAGGAATGCATGCTTTAAACTTGAAAACTTGGATAGGAATCCAAAATTGTTTGCATCATAGGTAAATGCAATGCATACCGGCAGAAATTAAGCCTATTACCTACAGACTGGTTTTCTGGTTAAGCTCTGACCTGAGTTTCTTAGTGCCTGTTAAGATGATGATGTGCCACTGCTCCCCTCTTGTCTAGGGAGCTTAACAGAGTCTGTTTATTCTACCAGGCACTTATTTTTGTAAAATCTGCAGGAACTTAATATTAATGAGACTTCTAATCCTCTAAATCTTCTGAATAAGACAGACCAATGTGATCACGTAAATCTAATTTCATCTATTTTAGCAGCAGTATTAAACAGGGAGAATGTATCAAGATGTTTTTCAACTTAATATATTTAGTTTCAGAACGGTACTTTGCAATTTAGCCCCCTTCCTAAGAACTGACTGTTGTCACTCTTCCTGTGCAGATCTAGCTTTTAGAGTTGCACTCTATTTTACTTTCCTTTTTCTCTTCATTTGAAAGGTCAAAGGGGATCTGCTGCATTTTCTAATCTTTTAACACTTGCCTCTATCATGTCTCATGCTATTTTACTTTGACATTACATCTTTTTTTTTTTTTTTTTTTTTTTAAACTCTGTATGGATTATTGCTGCCATTAGTTATTTTTTCGGAGGGGATGTGTCTATAAACCTGTAAGTATCTGCATTATTTTGCTCCCCTTCCTTCATTCTCTGCTTTTCTCTCTTCTGTTTCCATTTCCTTCCCTCAGTAGGTTACGGTATCATAGTGATTAAATTACTTGTTGTATAATAATTCATCTTGGAAACATGATATAGTATATGAACAGAGTCTGCTTCAAATGTAACAAATTAAGTTGATGCAACAACTCTGTTTTGACCAAGTTTCCTTCCAGGGTTTCTCCTTATTCATTAGAATGTCTTTTCTGTCCTGGTTCCAGAAATTCCCCAAATTGCTATCAAACGCGTTTGCACTTTTGATTTCTGTCTTTCACTGTATCTAATATTTTCATTGTATACTAATATAATACCGTTTTTAATTGGCTTCTGTAAACCTTAATATTTAGTTATCTCATCTAACTATACAATTGGGGTAGAGTATATGTGAAATTTGGTGTCCTTCATGACTCAGATGATCTCCCACTGTGTTTGGCTTGTGAAAATTTACTTGTTACTCTCTAGACCATTTGATATTGATGATTGACTTTATCTTTATTCTTTTTCTGAATAATGCTTAAATTGCTTTGAGCTGCCTTTCAATGACTGGTGAAAGTATCACTGAAGCTCCAGAGGCTCCAGAACTGCCAATTATATGGGGAAGGGCTTGAATCTGAGCTTTGGTGTTCATAAGCGTCACATGAAGGCAAGAATAAAGGAATTGGGTCTATATAGTAACTTTCAGAACAGCAGACTCCTTTTTGAGAAGACACTAACCTTAGAGAAATGTTTGTCTGAAATCTCCAGAAATCTGGGGGCTTAAAATAATAGTTGCTATATAGTCATCATC